CTCGGGTCCGCTCGGGTCTCTCTCGGGTCCTCCTCGGGTCCTCCTCGGGTCCCCCTCGGGTCCCCCTCGGGTCCCGCTCGGGTCCCGCTCGGGTCCTCCTCGGGTTCCCCTCGGGTCCCGCTCGGGTCCTCCTCGGGTCCTCCTCGGGTCCCCCTCGGGCTGTTCGGGTCCTCCTCGGGTCCCCCTCGGGTCCCGCTCGGGTCCCGCTCGGGTCCCGCTCGGGTCCTCCTCGGGTCCCGCTCGGGTCCTCCTCGGGTCCCGCTCGGGTCCCCCTCGGGTCCCGCTCGGGTCCCGCTCGGGTCCTCCTCGGGTCCTGCTCGGGCTGTTCGTCTACCTGCCTGAATAAAAACCGGAGGATCGTCTGAGCTAACCGTGAAGCCGCTCTGCGGACATTAAACTGAAATATTGACTTATTCTGCGGGTCATTGCCCCGGGGATCAGCTGTGTACCTTATACCTGTGAGCAGGTGAGTTTATGTGACAACACTGAAAGGTTAAGTTAAATTAAGAACAGGTTTATGTTAAAGAAACAGCAGCTAGCTTACGATGCTAACATGCGTCAAACTGTTAGCTTCTTATTCTGGAAACCTGTGCTGACCAATTAACAGTCGTTCATGTTACCATGGAAACTGTCTCTAATGTTACCATGGAGACAGTGTAGGGGTTAGGGGAGTGTTTTAGTTAAATGTGAAGGTTCATAATCACGGAGGCATCATAAGCTTCTTAACGTTAGCAAATAAACAGGGCTATGCTAAGCTAAGCTAATATAAGCTAAGTGTCTTTCTCCCGCGCGCTGTGCGGGACGTGTCACGCAGGATGGACCCACGCAAAGTGACAGAGCTGAAGGCCTTTGTGCAGCTGTGCGAGTCCAGTCCGGAAGTCCTGCACCTGCCGGAGCTGGACTTCCTGCGCACCTGGTTACAGAGGTCAGAACCCTAACCCGAGACCACGTCACTGACGTCAGCGTCAACCTGCCCACACCTGTGACCTCCAATCAGCTGATTTGTGCGTGTGCGTGTGCGTGTGCGTGTGCGCGTGTGCGTGTGTGTGTGTGTGTCTCTCTCTCTCTTCGCCTTCTCAGCATGGGAGCGACGATCCCTCTACGCCCGAAGATGAAGGACTCGTGTCAGGTGAGTCTCAAACTGCAGATTGAATTCATGTTGATCTAAACGTGTTTACCTGTGAGTGCCACACCTGTCTCAGCGCTGTAACACCTGTCTCAGGGTGCTGTAACACCTGTCTGTAACACCTGTCTCAGGGTGCTGTAACACCTGTCTGTAACACCTGTCTCAGGGTGCTGTAACACCTGTCTCAGCGTGCTGTAACACCTGTCTCAGCGTGCTGTAACACCTGTCTCAGCGCTGTAACACCTGTCTGTAACACCTGTCTCGGCATGCTGTAACACCTGTCTGTAACACCTGTCTCGGCATGCTGTAACACCTGTCTGTAACACCTGTCTCGGCATGCTGTAACACCTGTCTCAGCGCTGTAACACCTGTCTCAGGGTGCTGTAACACCTGTCTCAGCGTGCTGTAACACCTGTCTCAGCGTGCTGTAACACCTGTCTCAGCGTGCTGTAACACCTGTCTGTAACACCTGTCTCAGTGTGCTGTAACACCTGTCTCAGCGCTGTAACACCTGTCTGTAACACCTGTCTCGGCATGCTGTAACACCTGTCTGTAACACCTGTCTCGGCATGCTGTAACACCTGTCTCGGCATGCTGTAACACCTGTCTGTAACACCTGTCTCAGTGTGCTGTAACACCTGGCTGTAACACCTGTCTCAGTGTGCTGTAACACCTGTCTCAGGGTGTTGTAACACCTGTCTGAGCGTGCTGTAAAACCTGTCTGTAACACCTGTCTCAGGGTGCTGTGACACCTGTCTCAGGGTGCTGTAACACCTGTCTCAGGGTGCTGTAACACCTGTCTCAGGGTGCTGTAACACCTGTCTGTAACAACTGTCTCAGTGTGCTGTAACACCTGGCTGTAACACCTGTCTCAGGGTGCTGTAACACCTGTCTGAGCGTGCTGTAAAACCTGTCTGTAACACCTGTCTCAGGGTGCTGTGACACCTGTCTCAGGGTGCTGTAACACCTGTCTCAGGGTGCTGTAACACCTGTCTCAGGGTGCTGTAACACCTGTCTGTAACACCTGTCTCAGTGTGTTGTAACACTTGTCCCAGGGTGCTGTAACACCTGTCTGTAACACCTGTCTCAGTGTGTTGTAACACCTGTCCCAGGGTGCTGTAACACCTGTCTGTAACACCTGTCTCAGGGTGCTGTAACACCTGTCTGTAACACCTGTCTCAGTGTGTTGTAACACCTGTCTCAGGGTGCTGTAACACCTGTCTCAGGGTGCTGTAACACCTGTCTCAGGGTGCTGTAACGCCTGTTGTCTCACCTGCAGGGTGGCTGCCCCTGTGCTCCTCCTCCGTCTGCGGCGTCTGCGGCGCCCGAGCCTCCTGTGCTGTCGGAGAGCGAGGAGAGTGAAATCGGTAAATC